AGTTTATTAAGAAACTTAGAATTCGAACTGTTGACGTGCTAAAATCACCAAATGGCATCGAATTAGTACAAAACTTGGCACACACGACCACCTAGGCAGGAGAGAGTTGTAGAAGAAGATGGGACTCGAATCGAGTTCCCGGTTTGGGAGTTAGAGTCGGATTTTGGTCTGGGCGCACTAGTTCCTTAAAAAACATAGAATTCGACTTGTTGGCGTGCCAAAATCACCAAACGGCATCAGATTGGCACGACACTTGGCAAACATGACAAACTAGGCATGAGAGACTTGTGGAAGAAGACGGGACTTGAATCGAGTTCTCGATTAGGGAGTTAGAGCCGGATTTTGGTTTAGGCACACTAGTTTCTTAAAAAACTTAATATATACTCAAGCTGTTGACAAGCCAAAATCGCCAAACAGCGTCAAATTAGCATGAAACTTGGCACACATGACCAACTAAGCACGTGAGACTTGTGGGAGAAGACGGGAGTAGAATCGGATTCTTGGTTTGGGAGTTAGAGTTGGATTTTGGTCTAAGCATACTACTTTGCTTAAGAAACTTAATATTCGAGCTGTTGGAGAGCCAAAATTGCCAAACGACGTTGGATTAGCACGAAACTTGGCACACGTGACCAACTAGGCACGTGAGACTTGTAGGAGAAGACGGGAGTTGAATCGGGTTCTCAGTTTGGGAGTTAGAGTTGGATTTTGGTCTAGGCATACTACTTTTCTGAAGAAACTTAATATATATTCGAGCAATTGACGAGCCAAAATCGCCAACGGCGTCAGATTAGCACGAAACTTGACACACGCAACCACCTAGGCACAAGAGACTTGTGGGAGAAGATGGGACTGGACTCAGGTTCCCGGTTTGGGAGTTAGAGCCAGATTTTGGTCTAGGCATACGAGTTTCTAAAGAAACTTAAAATATATTTGAGGTATTGATGAGCGAAAATCATGCAATGACCTTGGATTAGCACAAATCTTGGCACACACGACCAACTTGGCATGAGAGACTTGTGGGAGAAGACGGGACTCGAATCGGGTTCCGAAATTGGGAGTTCAGATTTTGGTCTAGGTACACTAGTTTCAAAAGAAACTTAGAATTCTAGCTGTTGACGCGTCAAAATAATCAAATGGCGTTAGATTAGCACAAAACTTGGTACACACAACCAACTACACACGAGAGACTTGTGGGAGAAGACGAGACTCGAAACGGGTTGCCGGTTAGGAATTTAGAGCCAAATTTTGGCCTAGGCATACTACTTTTTTCAAGAAACTTAATATATATCCGAGCTGTTGACGAGCCAAAATGGCCAAACGGTGTCAGATTAGCACTAAACTTGGCACACAAGACCAACTACACATGAGAGACTTGTGGGAGAATATGGAACTCGAATCGGGTTCCTGGTTTAGGCATACTAATTTTCTTAAAAAACTTAATATATATTCAAGTTGTTGGTGAGCCAAAATTGCCAAACGACATCGGATTAGCACGAAATTTGCCACACACGACCAACTTGGCACGAGAGACTTATGGGAGAAGACGGGACTCAAATCAGGTTCCCAGTTTGGGAGTTAAGAGTTGAATTTTGGTTTAGGCATACTAGTTTCTGAAAAAACTTAAAATATATTTGAGGAGTTGATGAGCCAAAATCATGAAACAACATCGGATTAGCACGAAACTTGGCACACACGATGAACTTGACACCAGAGACTTGTGGGAGAAGACGGGACTCAAATCAGGTTCTCGGTTAGGGAGTTAGAGCCAGATTTTGGTCTAGGCATACTAGTTTTCTTAAGAAACATAATATATATACGAGCTGTGGACAAGCCAAAATCGTAAAACAACGTTGGATTAGCACGAAACTTGGCATACATGACCAACTAGGCATGAGAGACTTGTGGGAGAAGACGGGACTCGAATCCGGTTTCCAATTTGGGAGTTGGAGCTGGTTTTGGTCCAAGCATACTACTTTTCTTATGAAACTTGATATATATTCAAGCTGATGACGAGCCAAAATCGCCGAATGGCGTTGGATTAGCACGAAACTTGGCACACACAACCACCTAGGCATGAGAGACTTGTAGGAGAAGATGAGACTCAAATCAAGTTCCTGGTTTAGGAGTTAGAGTTAGATTTTGGTTTAGGCATACTAGTTTTTTAAGAAACATAAAATATATTTATGCTGTTGACAAGCCAAAATCACCAAACAACATTGAACTAGCACAAAACTTGACACACGTGACCACCTAGGCACGAGAGACTTGTGGGAGAAGACGGAACTCGAATCAGGTTCTCAGTTTGAGAGTTAGAGATAGATTTTGGTCTAAGCACACTAATTCGTTAATAAACTTAGAATTCGAGCCGTTGATATGCCAATATCACCAAACAACATTGGATTAGCACGACAGTTGGCATACACGACCACCTAGGCATGAGAGACTAGCGGGAGAAGACGTGACTCGAATTGGGTTTCCGGTTAGGGAGTTAGAGCCAAATTTTGGTCTAGGTATACTAGTTCCTTAAGAAACATAAATTATATTCGAGCCGTTGACGCGCCAAAATCACCAAACGGCATCGAATTAACACAAAACTTGGCACACACGACCACCTAAGGTACGAGATACTTGTGGGAGAAGACGGGATTGGAATTGGGTTCCCAGTTTGAGAGTTTGAGTCGGATTTTGATCTAGGCACACTAATTCCATGAGAAACTTAATTTGAGCTGTTGACACGCCAAAATCAACAAACGACATCGAATTAGTATGAAATTTGGCACACACGACCAACTTGGCATGAGAGATTTGTGGGAGCAGATGGGACTTGAATCGGGTTCCCAGTTTGGGAGTTGGATCCAGATTTTGGTCTAGGCATACTTGTTTCTTAAGAAACTTATAATCAAATTTTCTTGCTTAATTATCATTTTCCAAACGTACAGCTTAATTTTTATGTTTCATGTAATTAACATATTAACATATAATTATATTATCATTAGTTTTTGTTGTTTTTTGTTTTCAGATGTTGACCGAGGACTATGAGTTTGCTTGTTCATCCTAATATTCGTGGAGAATGATGAGGAGAATTTTTTTTTTTTGTTACTTTGAATTGCGGACAACATTACGTATTTAGTCTTCGTTTGGGAAAAGCTAAAATAGCCTGACTTTTTGGCTTTTTGGCTATTTTAGCCTGGCTTTTTTAATCTCGTTTGGTTTTTGTTTTTGGCTTTTTTGACTTTTGTGAGAGCAAAAATGTAATGATTATGGTTTGGATGTGACATTTTGTCTTATTGGCTTATGTAGCCAATTTTGTCTTTTATGCTTTTTTAGCCAAAAAGCCAACACCAAACATAGCTTTAAGCATTATGTAATATGCACCATAAATATTAGGGAAATTTGGTGACTTTCAGTTATGAATGCGAAAGATATTATTATTATGGAGAAAATTGTTATTTTTATACATGAATTTTTTTATTTTTATGCATTCGTTTTGTTTCTTTTTAAAAAATTTTGTCGATTTAATGTAGGTAATTTTAATATTTTTAATACTTTTTTTTTTTTTTTTTACTCTTTTTTTTTTTTTTTTGTGGCAACATATTTTTGCCGACAACTTCATGCCGTCACACCATTATTATTAGATTATTATTTTGCAACGGCATAAGGCTCTCGGTAAAAAGTATTTTTGAGACGGGTATTATGCCATCTCCAATAGGAAGGATGATGCCATTGCAAAAATTCTTTTTTTTAAATATTTTACATGCTTGTCAAATGCTGTTGCAAATTTATTGTTAGAAGGTATGTAATGAAAAGAAGGGTATGCAATGAAAAAAAGGGTAAGTGTTGTTTTTGTGTAGTTTTTTGTGCTTAAAATTTAGGCTTCTTGTAGCTCAGATTCTCAATACTTGAAAAAGATGTTCTGCCCAGGCAAATGTTCACTGTTCGGGAAAGAAGCTCATAGTAACCATTACCCAAGCTGAATGTAAAAAGAGGCAAGCACCGGACATAGAAGAGAGACCAAAGTGGGGTCCACATGTGGGGCCGGGCCATCTCTTTGTCTCTTATGTGTCCGATTCTATGAAAATTTTTAGTGCATTTAGACGAAATATCACCCCACTTTGTAGAGTCAGTTGAGCCGAATTTTACAATGTGGTGTTACCAAGACCTATTCCTTAGGTGTCTAATGGTTAGAAAAAGCTTTTGTGACAGTCTCTATATCATTCTTCAACTCGTTTAAAAAGCTTTTATTCTTCTGAATTCCGAATATTTTCAATTTTGTTATTATACAACCAAAATTCATTTGCGCAGGAGGTGAGACAAAGTGCAAGCTAGGTAACATCAGTGTCACAGTAACATATGACAACTTTTTTTTGGTTGTTTATTATTGAATTCAGATTCAGTAATTGCCAATGCAAATGCCACCCAGTTATACCAAACCTAAGGATTCACACCTGTATACATATCATTTTCAAAGTAAATTTTAAGGGTAAAATTTAAAGTGAATTTATTAACTAAGTGGTGATTTATGCATCATAATATTAGTATTTTTTTATTTATTTCCTGCATATTATTTTTTCTTTTTGGATAAAAAAAAACTAAGAAAATTTGCAAAAATCTCTATATTGGCAAAGTCCAGAGAAACATAATCTTTTCAAAGATAGAATTTTATAATGAGAAAGGAATTAACTGATTTATAAAGAATTTTCCTTTTTGCATATTTTGAACTAATTCGAATTAAAAAGAAATATTCTGCTATTAATCCGTTTGGTTTGATGAAGAATTTGGAAAGATTTTCTTTTAAAATGATGAGGCTAGAGAAAAAATTTAATTAATTGCAATTCTCTTGAAATTCAACCATTTTTTTAATAGAATTTCAATTTTTTTTCCTTTTTAAATTCCACTTGTATTTTAAATTTCATTCATTCCAAACATATTATTAATTCTTTTTCATTCATTCAAAAGATATTATTAAATTCTATTTTTAAATATCAATTCTATCAAACCAGCCAGCCCAAACAACAAAAGCAGCATAGTAGTGAAGCCACAACTCGAGAACCGAGAGCTCCACAACCAACTTGCGACGGCGTCACCGCCTCCGTTGTTAAATACTCTCTCTGAGCGACCTCTTTGTCTCTCAAACAACCCCTAAAGAACGAACCAACGAAAAAGTTCCTATCGAACTCAACAAAGCAAGGTTCTTTCTTTTTCTCTCATCTCTTCTTCTTTTTCTTTTTCAAATGTCTGAACGCCTGAAATTCAAAGAATTGTATCTCCCTAATGAATTTGGAGTTCCCTATTTCTCCACTTTTTCCGCAATTCAGGTTTCACTGATAATCTTTTGCTCTTGCTCCACATGCACAAATATTTATATATATATATATATAATGCACAAACAGGCACATGTATTACAGAGCATCTTCTAAAGCAATACACAGATTTCAATTATGAATGTTGAAAATTAAAAATCGTATGTCTTATTTGAATCTTTTTTGTATATGAACATGTCATTTTGATCGCCTCAGTGGCAAACTTTGATTCTGTCAGGGACTTGTCATTTGACTGACAAGAAAATTAACACCAATTTGTAAGGATGTCGGTCGCGCAACTCATCGGTGGTACAGTCTCTAATGGATTGACAAGTACAAGTAGTGGATGAAACACTATAAACAGGATGACGGGGTCATTCTGTTTGGGACAGCCAAGAGGACCTCCTAATTTTGTTGCATTAGTTGATAGGAAGAGATTGAGCCATGGTGGTGTTTTTCGGCACTGCAGTCTAGCCACAAACCATGAGACAATGTTGTTTCCCTCAAGATTGGCTCGTCAAAGAAAGCACAATTTTTCTGTGGTCAGTAATCAATTGAGTTCAGATTGTGGTGTGCATTCTTCTTCTTATGTGGATGAGAGTTCTACTGTGGAAGAACATTGTCTAACGAGTTCAATCGAGTAAGACCTTTGACCCGTCATGTTAGTTTTCATTTATGGGACTATGCATTGCGCAACATGTTTGATTAATTGTATTAGAATGTTTCCGTCATTTTGTGTTTTACTTTGGATAGGGAGTGGTTCTATCAAATTTTGATTCTTAGATACTAGTAATCCATATTCTAACTTTGTTTACAGTGTGTTCACTGAGAATCCTAGTTGTCAACCGCATGTTCAGAATGTCAAACAAGAGCTTATAATGCTTTCTTTGCCTGCAATTGCTGGACAGGCTATTGAGCCATTGGCACAACTGATGGAGACAGCCTATATTGGTAGATTGGGTAAGGAGTGTATTTGATGTTTAATTCACTACTCCTGTTTTTGATGGTTGTGGAGATAATTTAAATTTTCCTGTTAGTTTTCTTTTTGTTATTATTTGTATTGCATTATATTAGGAGAATCAATGAGCACAAGCGGTAGGAGGCAAAACCTCAAATACAAGTATGGAATAGACAAAACCAACATGGCTGCAAAATACCCATTGTAACCAAATTCCAAAGCATATTGTAAAAGTTGTCCCTTATGATGTGGGTAAAGGTCACAGAACATTGAGAAACACTTGGGGAGCCGTTGAACTAACTGCATGTTTTGCAAGCGTTTTGTGCTACTAACATCATTTTCTTTATTCTGCTTGGTTTCAGATCTTGCTGTCGATTTTTAATCTACTTGGGATTTTGTTCTCTACTCAACTTAACAAGGCCTTGCTCTGGCCTGTCTATTTAGGATTGGCTACATGAAGTCTAATTCATTTTTACCCACTTCCTTGTTTTAACATATCATTCTCAGTGTCTTTATTTTGGACATGCTCATTTTGTGAGCATTTTTCTTGGTTGCCTAGTATCTGCGTTGTGGAACGTGGTCTTGTAGCCATTCCTTTACTTAAACCAACCATGCTTCAATTATATGAGCATCATCATCACCAGTCTCTTCCTCTCTATCTCTTGGCCTTTGAACATTATTGCTCCTTCACTTATTCAATTTCAGTCATCTTAAATACCCCTTAATTTTGCTCTTGATTTTTGTGATTCCTTCATTTATGCATTTTGCCATTAGATAATGAATCGCTAAACTCATTTAATTGTGTGCATGGCTGTTTGAATTTCAGAGCTGTTGAGTTGGTTTGTCTTACAAGGGCACTTGCATGATTGCTTTCTGTTAGAATTTACCATCACCTACCACACACTTACCATCACCTACCACACACTCACCTACTACACTCACCTACTCCTCACCTACCACCACCTAACCTACATCTATATAATCAATCAATTGTAACAATCAATAATATCAATTATCAATACATCAATCAATAATATCAATCATCAATACATATTTCATTCTCTCTATTTTTTCCATACATCAAATTTTACACTTTCCCAAGTAGATGGTCATATAAACTTATAGAGTAATTATTTGCAATAGTAATTGATTCATGATTGCATCATATTGTTGGACAGACCCGGGTACGATTCCACTTCAAGCTATTGTTCTTATCAGCGAGGATTGATGTGGAAGCCTTCAATTTAAGGTAGGGTTACTATGGTACAGATATACGGCACTACCTAAGTTACCACCATGGATTGAAGTTATTTTGAGGCTATGGATTGTAGTTATTTTGGGGCTGACTTTATGCCTAGATTTTGAATCAATACATACAACTTGTCAGGATACTGAATCAGTCACTACATGCCAATACATGACGATAATGCACATTCTACATTCAGGTTAACATGGTAGATTGAATGTTTCACATATGTAGAAGCTGATAGATATACTACACCACTAAGTGATATATCATTCAAATTAAAATTATGACTATTTGGCCGTTCTGGTTCTGGTTCTGGTTCTGGTTCTGGTTCAGCCAAAAAATCAGCTGTTTTTGTTGTTCGACAACAAATTCGTGTAAATTCAAATGTATTAGTTTAGTAGTTTTGGCATTGAAACAACACTTATGAATTTAAGTTCTCTTGGATGTTTATTAGACTGACTTCATTAGATGTTTCTATAGATCAAGATTTTGAAAGTTGATCCTGATTATTGGCAGTTATACTATATAGTAAATGTGTTTATCTGTCTACAGACTTCAATATATGTAACCAAGCATGAGTGTTAGCTCTGTGTGTGTGTGTGTGCGGGCGGGTGTGGATGTGTGTATCTATTTGTGTTTATTGAGTGGTTATCACAATTTTCATATCTGTAGACCTTGTGTTATATCTGTAGGATCTGTGCAGTTGGCATCAGCTGGTGTTTCCATGTCAATCTTTAACGTTATATCAAAGCTATTTAATATTCCTCTCCTCAGTGTTGCTACTTCTTTTGTGGCTGAAGACATTTCAAATATTGCAAGCAGAACTTCCGCCGCAGGTAAAGTTAAGGTGATGTTTGGAGTGTTGCTGCTCTTTTTAGTTCCACACTATGTTTCCTTTGTCACTTTCATGTCTAATTTGGGTCAGATTTCTTACAGGAGAGCATTGTCAAAGGGAAAGCGGCAATGGTAAACCTTTTGCCGTGATAAATACGCACCAGCAACTATCCTCTGTGTCTATGGCTTTAGTTTTAGCAGCCGCCATTGGCATCTTTGAGGCTTTAGCCTTGTCTTTGGGATCTGGACTGTTTCTGAGCTTGTTGGGAATATCGCCAGCAAGTTCTAGATTTGTCAAGTTTTATTAAGATATCAGTGTCAGTTGACCGGCCTCTCTCACAGTTGTGTGTGTGCGCGCGTCCCAACAAAGCCTTGATCTGTGCTGCTTGAGTTGACTTCATGAATAATGGTTCTCCGTTCAGCTCTATCTAGTTGAATGCTCTACCTTGAGATTGTAATTCGAGTGGGTGTGCATGGCCAACAAAGCCTCAATTTCCAGCTTTTTGGGAGGAAGGGATCATTTTACTATTCAGCTTTTTATTATGCAATGTCTAGCTACTGCAACCCTCCTCCAGTATTGGACTTGGCTGTGGGTTGTGTTATCTACAGCATACGCTAAATAGTTTCAAAATGCATTATTTTCCTATGCTTAGATCAACTCAGTAATACTATTGAAGTAAGAAAGGAAAGTAAAGAAGAATAGGGGCCAGGCTGTAGTAGTACTGATTGAATCATTCTATGCAAATGGTCTCCAAATATTTGGGGGTTTGCACCAATCCCCAGAACTATGACAAGATACAATGTACTTGTTGTCCTCTCTATTGGTGTAGAATTGTGGTTCATTAGGTCAATGCAGAGGTCAGTGCTGGTTTATATTTGGCAAATTGTTCTTTTTCAAGAACATTGTTTTTCAGAGTTCTCATGTTTTCTTTTCAAGTGACACGTCATGACTTCTCATATCTATTCTCTATTCTCCCTGTGGTTTTCATGCACATGACTGAACTTTTATGAAGATTTTTTTTTTGTTATTTTAGTGAAGTCTTATTATTATTTTTTTAACAGGATTCCTCCATGCATGTTCCAGAACAGTGATTTCTTTGTCTTAGAGCCCTTGGTGCTCCTGCAGTTGTAGTTTCCTTGGCTCTTCAAGGCATTTTTCATGGTTTTAAGGATACAAAAACTCCTGTATCTAGGCAAGTGTTTGGTTTAACCTGTAAAGGTAAAATTATGTAAATCCTCCAATTCATTTGGCATGCTTCCATGTGCATGGCATTAAATAAGAATTTCTTGAGACATAGTTCTTATTGACAATAGCTTGCTGTTTTCCAAGGTCTTTAAAGCCTTCCTTTACCTTTTATCTGCTTCAAAAGTTTGGTTATTTTCTTGTTGCTAATATTTTATTTTTAATATGGGTATCATCATAAAACTTCAAAAATGCATTCTTACTATCGTCATTGGCCACCTGATCAGCACTTCTGTGGACCACCACTTGTTAGTTGTGGAGCTAAATGGTGATTTATTTTTTGTTATGTGGACTTGTTTATAGGTGTTGCATGTACCAAACCAAACCAAACCAAACTAAACCTTGTATCCCACTCAAGTAGGGTCAGCTAAGGTGTTGCATGCGATGTTTGTAAATGTTGGACTTGTTCCATAACCTCATCCTAGCTAGGCTTCAGGGAATGTACATGCATGGATACATTAACAGTTTCCAAAAAGGTATGACATGGAAAGAAATCATTCAACTATAAAATAGAGAATCTAGACTTGGAACACCATAGTATCTAGATCCTTGAAGTATTTTTCTGTGACAATTTTTAATATTCCCTCAAAGTTGGGTATTGGATGGGAAATTTGTGTACAAACCAAATGTAACTAGAAATCCATCTAGAGAAAAGCATGGGGACGAAATTATAGTATTGGAAGCGTATCTTATAACTATGTTAATGTTAATGTTAATGTCAATGTCATTTCAGACAGGTGATGATGTTATATTGCATGTCCAATATGTATATATATATATATGAAATTGATGTTTGAAAGAAAACTTGACCTTTTCGGTCCTATTCTTCGTTGCTTTGGTGGTGTACTTGAATGGCTTTAGGGCACTGAATTAAGTTTCTCTATTTGGTTTCCAGTAGTAGAAGTAGTTTATGATGGTTTCAAATCATGAAATTAAATTCATTTTAGAGGTTATGACGTGGAGTGATGGCTAGTGCTATTCGCTCCCTACACTATGGCGTGGATTTGAGTCATTAGAATCAACCTCTTCACAAAAAAGTTGCCGAAAGGTCTAGAAGGTTGCCCACCTACTAATTCTCCCAGACCCTATTGTAAGTGACAGCGGGGGAGCCTTATGCACTGTGTACGACCACCATGTTTTGACATTTAGGTAGCAGTGAGCAGTGGAATAATGTTTGCAATTTGAAGTATTAAATTAAACCATAACTTTGTCATTTAAGTTTGTCAATCCTGTATGTTTTTTTCCCCCTGCTAGCAATCTATGCTAAACCAAACCAAATGAAGCCTTAAGTCCCATCAAATGGGGTAAATTCTTGTAAATTTTTGCAGTTGTTCTGTTTGCAGGTGTTGGTAATTTCTTTGCTATATTTTGTTTCCCATACTTACGTATTATTTTCAGTTTGGAGTGACTGGAGCAGCCATTTCCAATCTCTCAGTATGTATTTTCTGTATTTATTCTATTTTAAAATTTTCTTCTGCTTCACTGAAGAATGACTGTGCTAGATTTTCTATGTTTCAGATATATCTGTAAAAAATATATTGATATAGAGAGAATAAATTGTATGTATTATTGATTGATGTTATTGTAATTGTTGATATATTGAATGTTACAATGATTCCTATATATAGAAGAGTAGGTGGTAGTAGGTGATAGATGGAGTAGGTAAAGTGGAGGTGGTAGGTGGAGTAGGTGAAGTGGAGGTGGTAGTGGTGTAGTGGGTTAGGTTTAGTAGGTGAAGTAGGTGATAGGTTGGTGAAGTAGGTGATAGGTTTTAACAATATCGTTACCTTCTTAATGATCTGCCATCTTAATAAGAGAGCTGCGTAATTGCCTCCAATGTTGAGAGATCTGCAATTTGGAGGTTATATAAAATCTGGTAAGTGTTTCTTTATTTTAAGATGCTGCTGGTGTGGTTAAAATCTATTGTCATGCGTCTGACAGATGCGATTTACGCTGACATTTTATTGTAATTCTGTGAGAGTATGGAATTTGAATATTAATATTACACTGGATTAGGACCATAAGTCCTGTCTAAGGTGGATTAGTTCTAGCAGTTCATCTAGCGGCAGAACACTGGGACAGACTGTTTTGTTGCATGTGGGAGCTAACCTTTCTAATGTGACTAGTGCTGGAAGGCACACTCAAATGGAGTCTGTAAGGTCATATATCCTTGCCTGTTGCTTCCTAAGGAGCTAGTATTGTACCCAAAAACCTTGAGGTTCTCATGAGCATTGTACATTAACTTCCCAGTGGCGCAGGTTTGAGTCGCAGAAACAATCTCCCAAAAATAACAGCGAGGTTGCGTACATTTTGCCCTCCCTAGATTGTGCTTTCGTGGGAGCCTTGTGCACTGGTTGACCACTTTTGTGTTAAATATGTCTGTATATTAGCTTGGAAGGAGGAGAAAGAATTTTAGGTATATGTTGTCCATTAGTCACAGTTGAAGTAAAGAGAGTGAAACTAGGGTTAGGTTTGAGAAAGAGAGAGAAGAGAGGAGAGAAGGAGAAGTTGAACTAATTGGCTTAGAGTTTTAATTAACCCTATACCAATAGTATATATATAGTTATGGTGTCCAATATTACATGATGACCAAAATACCCTCAACGTAATAACAAAAATATCAATAACACCCTCGACTATTCTAGCAGTCGCTATTCTTTTTTCCTGCTGTTCTTTAGTATACAAGACAGGTACTGGTTGGCAATATGACTTGAGTGATAGTCATGCACCATTCTGGTACTTGAAGAATGATCCTTGGTGATAAGACAATTATCCAAATATGCAAAAATTTCTGGAGTGTTGGATTGATGATGTTGGGACATCATGACTTTCATGATTTATTTTATATGGATGGTAGTTTTTCTCAACTTCCAAGGGATTCTTAAATCTTGAGGGAAAGATGGTTTCACCACCATGGTGCTATGTATGGAGAACAATTGTGCTGTGCGGTCAATACTAATCACTCCAAGTGCATGGCATGTACTTTTATACCTTACTCAGTGGCAGTGTTATAGGACACCTTGGAGAGAGAGTCACTTGTAGGATCAAGTTTAATAAGAGTGCCCTTTATTGGCTCCATATGCAACATACAAGTGGTTGAGTTCTGGTTGACTTATTTTTGCATTGAAAAGCAGAACACAATGGTCAATTTGTGCCTCATTGGCTCTGTTTTTTCAATATTTAAAATGACCCAACACAAACACGAAATCATTAGATTTCATACATAAAATAGTTTGTTTTTCACCCTTCGTGGTCCTGTTCTTTCTAGAATCCTAGATTGTGATGCTTTTTACACATTCTTCAATCCTCTAGGTGGTTTTCTTATCGGCAGAACTCTTGCTGTTCTTGTGACCATGACACGGGGGACATCAATGGCTGCTCGTCAAGGAACGGTAGCTATGGCTGCTCATTAAACATGCTTACAAGTATGGTTAGCTGTATCTCTCCTCACAGATGCATTGGTGGCATCTGGTCAGGTACAAAATTTTGTTTGTAAAGAATGTTTGATATATGCTCTCCCAATACATATCTACTTGTTTGGACTTGTGGTCTCATTACAATCTCTATGGTCATATTATCTGAGTTAGGATGGGACGTTGCTTGTTGATGCTGACTCCACTCAAAACTGCCAGAATTGTCACTAGGAAAAAAAACTGTGCATCTACAGAGTTTAGTGTGTGTTTTTCCTCTCTGAAATCAAAATTGTGTTTCATGTAGGCATTGATTGCAAGTTCTTATTCAAAAGGTGATTACAGAACTTCGAGGGAGGTTGCAAACTTTGCGTTAAAGGTTAGTCATTCCTGTATGCCTCCCCATTATGCTTCGGCATTCTTCTACTTAGGACCAAATGGATTTTAGGTTTACTAGGTGTTTAGGCTCTTTGTGTTGGAGTTGCAATATTTCTTGATAGTGGTTCAAATCTTATTCACATGTTTTTGCAGATAGGATTGCTCACAAGGTTTCCTTGGCTGCAATTTTGGGTTTATCTTTTGGTTCTTTAGCCACCTTATTCACTAAGGATGCTGAAGTCTTAGGAGTTGTCAGAACTGGGGTTTTGGTATGTTTGCTCGCCATGTCATCCTATCTATCAATTTTTGTTAGTTTATCTGAATGGTTAAGTGCTAAGATCTTTCTTGTGTGGCGTTTCCTGAAATTGTTACAGTTTGTCAGTGCCAGCCAACCTGTAAATGCTCTAGCTTTTATTTTTTATGGTCTCCATTATGGTGTTTCAGACTTCCCATATGCAGCTTGTTCCATGGTAAGGTTATATAGTTAAATTTCTCTGAGATGTTATTAGCTGGCTGTGAAGATTGTACAATGGCCTCTATTAACAACTTTTAAATAAATTACAGATGGTGGTAGGGGCAATATGTTCTTCATTTCTGCTATATGTTCCTTCAATTTTTGGTCTTCATGGTGTGTGGGCAGGCTTGGCTCTTTTTATGGGGCTGCGTACGTTGGCAGGATATATCAGGTAAACTGTAGGATATTATGACATGTCTGTTGTCTCTTAAAAATTTCTATTAGCAATTCGTGTTTTCTTGTCTATGACGTGATTATTCTATTTTTACCATGAACCTCCATTTCAGTTTAATTGAAAACTGGTGTAATATGAGAGATAGGGCATTGGTTACGTTGTTTAGAGTTGGTTTTCCGATAAATAATTTCATGAACATATTTGTGGTTTAAAGGCATGCTCAAATTTTTGTTACTGCTTTCTAGTGCAATTTTGATGACAATGTTATTGAAGAACTGTGCTGCCTTTTTCTTGCATTTTTCACTAGGATGGTATATTTATTGGTCCTCTCTTTTCTTGCGCTTTCTTTTTTTACTCTTTTTTGATAGATATTAATTGTTATTCCACTTGCATGTTCAGAATATCATCCAAAAATGGTCCATGGTGGTTTCTGCATCAGGACTTGAAGGGATCTGAGGTTGGTAGTTTTTTGTTCATGGCTTTCTCTATATTATATTCGTTGAAACAATCTACCTTTTTGTTGTTGCTTTTCCTACTATTTTTACCTGTTTGTCTTGTTTTTGCCATTGTCACTGATTTACTAATTTTTACCTATCCTGCATCAATGCTTGAGATGGGTGTAATCAGGATTCAGGAATCTATTGCTTGTCATTATCCATCCTTTAAGTATGACTTGTAATCCCTGGTTCCTATCTAAAATGGTGAGTAATGCTATTTGATGATTTATTCCTGTGGGCTGATGCCCACTTTTTGGTTTTCAAATGTTACAATGGGAATACTTTTACCAGAGCCTTGGAAATCTCTCTCTCTCTCTCTCTCTCTCTCTCTCTCTCTCTCTCAACACCAGAAAGTGAAACTACATGTAAATTGAAAACTTCTTGTTTATGTATTGATGCCCACTTTTTGGTTTTCAAATGTTACAATGAGAATACTTCTAATAGTCTTGGAAATCTCTCTCTCTCTCTCTCTCTCTCTCTCTCTCACACACACACACATTAAGCCTCACCGGTTTAACCGAAAGAAAGTGTTGGTTCAGTTTGGATGTATACATTTTCGAAATCCAGCTGTGGTCATGGTTGTTTGAATCCTAGTTTGTTTGCTAGGAACATAATTTCCAGTTCTCCAACTTCATTCATGGTTGGTTTTTTTTTTTTTTTTTATGGATCAGCAACAAAAAGTGTTTATTAATAATGAAAAAGGAGATACAAAGGGAGGACAAGAAGTCCTCTTACAAGGAAGAAAGAAAAGAAAGTCAAATGACTTGAACCAACCAAATGAAATAATTAAGCCACCCATAGCACACCAACACTTTTTTTAGCACACCTGGAGCTTTAGCTTTAAGGTTGAGCATAATCCGTTGGGCCGTAAGGTCTATCAATTCGGCAATGAATCCCTCCTTCCTCTTAGGGTTCCATCCCATGTCCTTGCAGAGTTGATCATTGCACCATATATGAAGGGCACCAATGCAAGATGTCCTGTAGTATTGTCAGAGTGCAGGTTCATGTATTTATCCCATTCCAATACATCTTTTTCTGTCTCTTTAATGCTGGGTAGCTTGAATGTGCCATCAAAAAGCTCTGCTAGCCATCGGCACCTTATCTCCGAAGTGTATAGGTTTGCTATACTCTCTGAGAATCCAATTATCGCTAGCTGTGGAATTTGGGGATGAATGCATTCCCTTTGAAAACAAAAAGTTAGTATTGATATGCTTTTGGTCGCCGCACCCTTGCTTAGCAATATAGTCAACTAAGATTCTACTTTTTTGATAAAGTTGTCTAATATTTTGGGAACATCATGTGATTATATATCTACTTAATAATAAGGGGGTATGTGACCACGTTCTAGAAATATATAAACAAAATTACCACATGACCACATGCCATTAAACCAGCACACAATCAAACTGAAATTTTTGACCCACCTAATATTTTTTGCTTTTGCAATTTTAATAACCATTCAAAACATGTTATGCTAATTAAATTCATTGCATATTTTGACTTTATGTTTTGATATTAAATTTCAACAATTACAACTATGGACAACCTGGAGAGGCCTTAGGGTTGGACTTCCTGAACAACCCTGATCTAGTGGATGACTTCACAATCACCAAAGCCTTCGTGCCACGCGGTCATCACCATAGATCACTTCACAATCTGTCACGTCCCAAGCTCCGTGACAACGCCGCACACTTATTTAAGTGAGCATGCAAGGCTAAGAGTCCAACACATAACTAACAATGTAAAATACTCCAATCAAACCCTTAATTATCATAATACTAAAATCCATAAAAAAAATTGATTATTCTTATCATATGAAATTATCCACCAAGTCCACTAATAAAATCCATTAACAAAACAAATAATCCAAGTACTTAAATCATAGTCCTACTCTCGGCACTCCCATATGTAAAAAAAATTTGTATAATAATAATAATAATAAGAATAATAATAATAGATTAATGGTTTGAATGTGTAAGAATAATAATAATAATAAGAATAATAAGAAATTAAAGGTGAAAGCATGTGCCTTGGTGGGAGCAGACTCTTAATAGGTTCTGAAACAGTGGGATGAAAAAGAAAAAAAAATATAGATATAATAATAATAATAAGAAAAATAATAAAAATAATGGGTCACGTGGGTTGCTTGGTGTGGTGTTGTCGGTTTCATTTCAAAAGAGGGAGTAAAATAATAAAAAAGAAAAAGAAAGTTAAGTGGGTTTGGAGTAAAATAATAAAAAAAGAAAAAGAAAGTTATAGATGGACTCAGTGCCTCAGAAGAAAAAGAAAAAGAGGTATGGATTTTGCCAAAAGTTGACATAGTGGGTAATAGATTATAATAAATATATCTATATATATATATATTAAAATAAAAGAAAGTTGAGATAGCCTCAAAAAAAAAGCATAATTCAGCAGCTTTTCCCTGCGCGTTGATATCTCTGCCTGGAAATAGCTCAACTTTTCAGGCCACAGCCAGTTAACTATAGGCCGTCCAATGAACATAGACAGAAAATAGCAGGATGATGCTCCAGCGGTGGCGTTAAAGACAACTAAGAAAAGGCCTTTGATCACACAAAAAAACGCTCCAGCCAGCAACGACATGAAAATGGTGCCAGGAATCATAAATGTCTGCATGAATATGTAAGTTGAGCAGTAACCCAGAATGAATTCTGCTGGTAAGCTTTAGCATATGTTGCAAGGTGATCTTTGAGCGCTTGCAGATCTGAAATGTGGCGGGGAAGCTGAAGTGGACTGTACTCCGCAGCAGGCATTGTCAAGTATACGCAGGAAAGGCCCGTGGAGAAGATCAAAAACACACCCAAAGCAGCCGCGAATTCTCACCGACTCGGCGGGAATGTGGTCTCCAATTTGGCCCCAACCGGCTTCTTGCTCGTGGGTGAGGAGGGTGGTGGTCGGATGGAGATGCCAGGGCTACCAGCGGTGACCGCCATGTTTGACGAGCAGCAGAGAGGAAATGGAGCTTCTGTATGTAGGGTTCTGGCACAGAGAGAGAGAGAGAGGGGGAGTGAAGGTATGTGTAAAAAATTCCAGCGGGCAGCAATGGCACAGTTGCCGGCCGGCTGTCCGCCGGTGACAAAGAAATACAGGCTTAAATCTTATAGCTCTAATACCATGTTAAAATACAATGTATAAAATTGATTGTATTATTGATTCATATATATTGTTGTATTGATACATTTTCTGTCTATTACAAATGGTTCCTTATATAGATATAGGTGTAGTGGATGGTGTGTAGTGGAGTAGGTGAGGTGGTAGTGGTGTAGTGGGTTAGGTTTAGTGGAGTAGGTGAGGTGGTAGTGGTGGTAGGTGATGGTAGGTGAGGTGGTAGTGGTGGTAGGTGATGGTAAATTCTAACACATTCAAAACATTTTATGCTAATTAAATTCATTGCATATTTTGACTTTATGTTTTGATATTAAATTTCAACAATTACAACTATGGACAAGCTAGAGAGGCCTTAGGGTTGGACCTCCTGAACAACCCTGATCTAGTACAAACTGACCCGGTCATCTCATTCAGGATAGCCTTATGGTTCTGGATGACTTCACAATCACCAAAGCCTTCGTGCCACGCGGTCATCACCGAAACTTGGACGTCGTCAGCAGCTGGCCAATCAGAAAGTCGGGTTCCGGAGTACGGCGTCATCACAAACATCATTTATGGCAATCTCGAATGCAGTAATGGCATGGATTCAAGGGTTGAGAGTCGCATTGGGTTCTATCAAAGGTATTGTAGTGATGAAATATTCGGGGTTAGCACTGGCGACAACCTTGATTGCAACAACCAAAGGCCCTTTGGATTCGGACTCTTGTTTGACTCTATGTAATTGCAACATCCGTACAGTTGTTGCATCAGTGCAAAACTGCACAAGCCACTGTTGTTCTAACTACAATAATTGTGCAATAGTAATGACTCTTTTTAAGTTTTTCTGCTCTGGGTCCAAGTAGTTGCAATGAATTAATGAACTATTTACAATATCTGATCCAAATAATATAATAGGTAGATATATAAGAGTACAATTCGTTCAAAAATTGTCCCTATCCTAACGTTCCGTTCATTTGACCGAAAACATATTCTGAAAAATATTTTTTATTTTTTGGCATACTGAAAATTTTAACAGAAATTCAAAACAAACTGATTTGGAAAAAAACATTTTTTTATTTTTAAAAGTGATAACGTTTCCCAACTAAATTTTACTAATGTCACCACTGCACCACAGTCAATCCCACCCACTTGCCTCTCCACCTCCACCACTACTAATGCAATCACTAGCTAGCACATTAGTTTTAAGGTTGCAACCAAACATAAAAAAAATGTGTTCATTTTTTCAAGAAATATTTTTGTAAAGAATGTTTTTTGCCAAATCAAAGGGAATCCAAGTAACACTACAAATTAAAGTTGGCCACATATATATTACTTAAAAGCTTATTCATGAATTACAACAAAATTGGCTACCATTAACGTCCATTACACTACATTTCCTGCCATCAGATATGTCTGTGAGTTAGATACAACCTGTATGGGCTCTGCTCAAACCTCACCAATGGAAGCACTGGAGGAGATGCTGCAAATGGATGTTCTTATATATGCATACCAATTGCACTGACTTTAAATTTCTTGTACCCGGCCTCGGCCATAGAATATGTCATGCCTATATCGCCTCAACGGCCCCTTCAAGCTTTGGTTTGCTCTTCAGTCGGCCACATCGTTTTACATCCTTACCCAACAAAAGCTCTAATGCTTTCTCAAAGGTTATATCATTCGGCTTCAAGTTCTATGCAAAAGGTTTAAATAGATGAAAACCAAGTTAACAAAATAAGAATTCTCAAAGATGACAAATATATAAGAGGAAAAAAGTGACGATAAAAACAAGTGATATGCGCTCTGAATGAAATAATCTGAACACGGACCAGAGTGAATATTTTTTAAAAAGAATTTTCCTCTGCTCCACCCCATCTCAACAAGTAACTAAGATGTACACTGTTCATTAGACTATTCATTAGACTTCTTCCGAGCTGCACTTGCCTCTTTGGATCTTTCAAGTTACAATGTGTTTCGTTTCTATTTCCCCTTCTACTAGTAGACAATGGAGTTGGGATCTGAAAACTTCGACTCACAATCTCATGCAAAGTTTCCAAGTCGCACTAAATCTTTGCATCATGGACGGGCAGTAAATTTAACATGGTTTACCAATTAGGGTGAATGTTATGCGTGTATTATTTTTTTTCTCTTCTTTTTTGATGTGAAACAAATTCAATTAAAAAATAGACTTAAGGTTCAAACAGCAGTCCTTCAGAAGCAAGAAAAACATGTATGTATTGAACCAGCATAGGAAAACAAATACAAAAGCTAATCAAGAAATAACAATATCACCAACACAACGACTCCACATCAAATTTGCTTGATATGCATTTTAAAGATCTTAATATCACAAATCTGCACTTGAGTTTGTGAAAAGATTTTTCTTTTTTTTTCCCAATTCTTGATCCAATTTTCCATCCACTTAATCCAAATTTTAAAACATTTATGATGGGAAGATTTACAAGAGGAATTCACCAGTTGAGTTCAAGGGAAAATAATTGTTTGCCAGTAATGATTTGCGTTCCTTGGACATCACTAAATCACATACCATTCCAAACAACACTCAATCTATGACTACGCTTCTAAAGGTTTATTTAATTATAAGCCCACCAAATTCAATGCATTACTCCTAAAGGTTTATTTAATTAAACGCCCACCAAATTCAATGTATCATACAGTGTGCAGCTGTTTGTCCATATATCAGCCCGCCTACTCAATCCTATCACTGCGCTCCTAACGGTTCATTTAATTATAAACCCACTAAATTCAATGTATAATACAGTATGCAGATCGGCCAATCTACTCAATCCTTATGACTGCACTCCTAAAGGTGTATTCATATATTTATTATTTAAATTAATAGTCTATATTTTTCCTTTTTTTGGGTACATTGGAGGCTGTAGGCTAAGGGGAGTCTTGCCTGTGACAAGACTTAAAATCTTGACCTCCTAATGAGATGTAGGTGTTCCAGCCAACTGGATTATCCCAGTAGGTTATAATCTTTCTCTTCTTGTTAGTTTAAAAGGGCAGCCCTCTAGCAAAGCTGTAGTTCTGCCGCTAAAGCATTTCCGAGGGTCCAATACTTTGGAAAAGTTGTACATTGCTTTTGCAAAAGCCAAAAATACTGCCAATAGTCGTATGTTTCTTTCTTCCTTTCTATTCTTATTTCTTTCACTTCCCTCCTTGTTTTGGAGAGGCTTAATATTTGCCCGTTTTGCCTCAAGTTTGGTCTCTGAAACCAAGAACAGTATATGTCTATGGTAGGACCCTTGAGATTCAATCTTCCCACCTCACAAGGGGAAAACAGGAAAAGGAAGAAGGCAATCTCACAAGTAAATACACGTGCAATTGGTTAGTACTTGGTAGTTAAAAGTATAGCATATATGCATGGTTCAATATTTAAGACATATAGACAACTCAGGCCTGTTGTTACGGGACAAGCATTTCATGCTGGAAATTCATTCTTTTGTTTTGCCAAATTATTACTTAAACTTATGTTTTACAGACTTTCATATAACGCTTTAGTAATTCTTTTCATCGCTGTCTGCACAACTTGTTCAGTATTCAATGTCTTTGTCAGTGTCTTCTCCTTATTTTGGGACCTCAAAATGACAGTGACTGCAGATATTTCACTCCATAAATAACACTGTCTATATATGTATTAACATAGTTCTCCATTGGGTGTTTCATATTTAATTTTTTAATAAGTATTAGGTGTTCATATTCAATTTTTTGCAAGTATTAGGTGTTCATGTTCATCTAAAACAATACACCTACCCCCAAGTGCCATATTACTTAAACTTATGTTTTACAGACTTTCATATAACGCTTTAGTAATTCTTTTCATCGCTGTCTGCACAACTTGTTCAGTATTCAATGTCTTTGTCAGTGTCTTCTCCTTATTTTGGGACCTCAAAATGACAGTGACTGCAGATATTTCACTCCATAAATAACACTGTCTATATATGTATTAACATAGTTCTCCATTAGGTGTTTCATATTTAATTTTTTAATAAGTATTAGGTGTTCATATTCAATTTTTTGTAAGTATTAGGTGTTCATGTTCATCTAAAATAATACACCTACCCCCAAGTGCCACATTTAAGGGCAGATTTTGGCTTCTTGCCCATCCAACTCCTATACCTACTTCACAAACTGATAAAAATACTCCGAACTGTGTATGGCTGAGAATTGACCTATATACACCGGCTTTCTAGTTTTAGAACCCATTTGTAAGGTTTTGCTATAGGAGACTAATATGGTGGCCAATAGCTTATTAGTTAAACTTGCTGTGGATACTTCTCATACTAAAATGAGTACTACAATAGGAGATTCAAGCTGAATTTAGTGAAGAAAAAGAGTTAGAAAATACCATAACTATTTAATAAAGGCATGCTTAACAAAGAAAGATACACCTCAGGTACAGGCGCGATTGTACGTCAATGTCTAATGGAAAATCCAAACTTTGCAAGCTTCAATACAACTGGCTGGCCATCATCGGGATGGTTTACGTAACATAGATACAGGAAAACTGAGTTTGACAATGATAAATAAAAAAAAATTAAAAACCCCTCTATTTAGGTGAAGAAATACCAATGTCGCAGGACAGCGTAACAACTCAATGTATCTTGCAGGGTAATAGTCTACATTTTGTTATCTGAAATAACAAATGTTACTTGTCAAAAAAAATTATGAAATAATAATAAAGGATGCACGGTGGATACGGTTTTGGTGACAGATATAAGGCTGGAGAGAGTATCTTAGATTTTGCATTGGCTTCTGACCTGGTGGTGGCCAATACTATGTATAAGAAGAGGGAGGAGCATTTGATAACCTTTAAGAGTGGATTAGTTAAGAGCCAAATAGATTATTCTTAGTGAGAAAAATGGACCGTCTAAAATGCAATGATTGTAAGGTGATTCCTAGAGAGAGCCTGGTCTCTCAACATAGGATTTTGGTACTAGGTTTATGTTTTAGAGGGCAATACCAAGCTAGGAATGATGGTGGGCGTCGTCGGACGAGATGGTGGGACCTAAAAGGGAATAAACTAGAAATATTTAAGAATCGAATGGATAAGGAAGGTACTTGGGACTTAGAAGGTGATGCTAACACTATGTGGAACTCGATGGCCAATTGTATGAAGAGAATCTCAAGGGAAGTGCTTGGAGAGTCGAAAGGAACGGGACCCAACTCTAGGGAAACTTGGTGGTGGAGGGAAGAGGTTTAAACGGTAGTTAAGGGAAAAAAAGAGTGCTTTAAAAAGTGGCAGAAGAATAGAACTGAGAAAAACCTTTAGAGCTATAGATTGGCTAATAAGGAGGTCAAGAAAGTAATGAGAGAGACTAAGTTAAAAGCTTATGATGGCCTATACACTAGATTAGATAGTAAGGAGGGAAAGAAGAGAGTATACAAACTTGCTAAGATACGGGAGAGGAAAACAAGAGATTTTAATCAAGCAAAGTACATCAAGAGTGAGGATTCTAAAATATTGGTGAAGGATGAAGAGATTAAGGAAAGATGGAAGAATTATTTTGAGAAACTATTAAATGAGGAACATGGAGGTACGGCAATAGAGGAAGAAATAACCAGTAATACGATAAACCAAAACTATAGGTTCTATCGCAGGATTATGAATTTTGAAGTGGAGATTGTACTTAAGAAGATGAAATCCAATAAGGATTTAGGACCCGATGATATCTCTATTGAAGCTTGGAAGTATTTGGGTAAAACGAGAGTTGCTTGGTTGACTAGGTTGTTTAGCAAAATTTTGTTGACTAGGAACATGCTAGATGCGTGGAGGAAGTGTATTTTAGTGCCAATCTATAAGAATAAAGGTCAGAGATGGCAATATTAACCCGGCCCGACGGGGACCCGGACCGCCCCGTCCCAATAAATAGGTTTTTCCCCGAAAATTATTCCCCGTAGGGCCGGGGCTGGTATTGAAAAATACATCCCCGATGATTTTCGGGCCGGGGACGGGGATTAATTTCCCGGCCCCGCCCCGAAGTTTCCCTGAAGCTTCCCCGCATATATTATATACTACCTATTAGTTATATTATAATTATATATTTCTCTCTCATCTCACTCTTTCACTCTGACTCTCATCTTTCTCTCTCAACTCTCTGTGTGTCTCGTTCTTCTCTCCCTCACTCTCTCAACTCTCGTTCTTCTCTCCCTCATTGTCTCTTGTCTCTCTGTCAACTCTCTCTCACACAGTCACCGACACACGGTGACACCACCACCACCGCTGGCCCTAACCCCCCATCCTCTCCAGCGCCGTCGTCCCTCCATCACGGCGATCTGCGCAGCTGCAGCACCGTCGTCCCTCCATCACAGCGATCTGTACATTTTGCGCTCAGTAGGTCTTTGGAGACTCTGAATCTCAGCAACAATCTCATTTGGGGTCCAATCCTAGATCAGTCTTCTCAGTTTGGGTCATTGAAAATGCTTGATTTGAGTGGAAACCATGTTGAAGGGAGATCAGATCAAATCAAACTTCTCACTCTCTTTTTATTTTTTATTTTTTACATTTTGAGCTCAGATCTTTGATGATAATGAACAGATGATTGTTGTTGATGAATACATATTGTTGTTGTTGATGATGAATATATGTATATTTGAGCTCAGATCCGTGCATTTTTTTTTTCTTTTTTTGGCCGGGGAATTCTCGAGGTCGGGGAAACCCGATCCCCGTTAGGGGCCGGGGATGGGGGCGGTGATAGGCTCCCCGTCGGGGATCGAGGACGGGGGAGGGGAAATTTCTACCATCGGGGATCGGGGATGGGGAGTGTGGTCCCCGGCCCGTTGCCATTCCTAATAAAGGTGATGTCCAGAAGTGCAACAACTATAGAGGAATCAAGCTAATATGTCATATAATGAAAGTATGGGAGAGGGTGATGGAACGCCGATTGCGAGAAATAACAGAGGTGTCAGAGAATCAATTTGGGTTTATGCCTGGTAGGTCAACAATGGAAGCGATCTATCTTTTGAGGAGAGTAATAAAAAAGTATAAAGAAAAGAAAAGAGACATTCATATGATGTTTATCGACCTTGAGAAAGCATATAATAGAGTGCCCCGAGATATAATATGGTGGGTGTTAGAGAAGAAAGGGGTGACAAAAGGTTACATTGACGTGATTAGGGACATATATGGAGGGGTGGTGACCACTATTAGATCGCCAGCTGGAGAGGCAAATAAATTTCCTATCACTGTAGGGTTACACCAAGGATCTACTTTAAGTCCTTATCTTTTTGCTTTAGTTATGGACGAGTTGACGAGAAATATTCAGGATGACGTGCCATAGTGTATGCTTTTTACAAACGATATTGTGCTAGTGGATAAGACTAGAGAAGGAATTAACACAAAGTTGGAGATTTGGAGAACAACTCTTGAATCTAAAGGATTCCGGATAAGCAAAACTAAGACAGAGTACATGGAGTGTAAATTTAGTAACAGTAACAATGAAAGCAGAGGAGAAGTGAAGATTGAGAACCAAGAACTGCCTAAAAGTGAACATTTTCGTTATTTAGGGTCGATTATCACAACAACGGGAGAGATTGATGTAGATGTGGCCCATAGGATTAAGGTAGGATGGTGTAAGTGGAGAAGTGCGCCTGGGGTATTGTGCAATAAACGAATACCCACTAGACTAAAAAGTAAGTTCTACAGAACGGCTATTAGACCAACTATGTTGTATGGGACGGAGTGTTGGGCAACCAAGAAACAACATGTAGATAAGATGAGTGTGGCTGAGATGAGGATGCTAAAGTGGAGGTGTGGTAAGACTAAACAAGACAGAATTAGGAATGAGTGTATTCGGGAATGGGTAGGAGTAGCACCGATAGAAGATAAGTTGAGAGAAAATCGATTGAGATGGTTTGGTCATATTCAACGGAGGCCAACAGAGGCAGTAGTGAAGAGATGCAATGCTGTAACGGTGGATGGAAGTGTTAGGGGACGGGGACGGGGACGGGGTAGGGGTAGGCCTAGATTAACATTGGCTAGCATTATAAATAGAGATATGAATCTACTTAATTTGATTAATGAAACGGTCTTTGATAGGGCCGCGTGGAGAAGAAGAATTCATGTAGCCGACCCTATTTGATGGGACTTAAGGCTTTGTTTGGTTTGGTTTGGTTTGGTTTGGTAATTTTTTATTTTTTTTGAGAGGGCCGAAAGAAGGAGGAAGCATGAACTACCATATCGAAACAATTCATAAAAAACTTCTAAACTGAAGCTTGTGTATGATATCCTAAAAAAATAAAACGAAGGCATGGATCAAAGTCGATCTCCCATCTGTAGATGCCTAGATGCACCAAGAGACCTCAGAGAGCATCCACATAATCCATATTTTTAAGATTCTTTTTCTTTTTCTTTCTTTTTTTATTATTTATAAATCCATATTTTTACAATTAATCCACAACAGCCAGAATTTTTGAGCACCAAGTTATTGCATCATGGCCAAATGCAATTATCCTCCAGGTACTCCCCTTGGAGGAAAGAATAATTTTCTCCATAATAATAAAAACAGAAACATACTGATGAAAAATATATTAGTGCATATCAACTTTGGTGCTTAAAAACCTTAGTGGAAGCTTCACATGCTTTAGTAAAGTATTTTAAAAGGGGGCCATCAAACGAACTAGTAAATTTTTTTAACATTCTATAGTTATATGACTGTAAATATGTCATACATTAGTTATATTCTTTTACCTATAAAAAATATCATGCAGGACTTTTCATACTTGCGGATAGCATCTTTTTTGCCCTAGGCACATGATAAAATTTTTTAACAATTAGAGGAAGCTAGATATTCTAACTTTGACAAAATCAGATTGGCGCAAAACTAGATATTCTAATACCAAAATGTTTCAGAAGTAGGACCAAGACAAGGAAAAGAAGAAAGGGATGAAGTATGAAAGGAAGATTGATGACCAAATGATCTGACAATATGATTGAGAGATAACGACAGACACAGGAATGGAGTTTCAGCTCAGCGGTTGAAGCACAGTTGGCTCTAGAATAATGTGACAAACATTGGCAAGAATAGAGGGGCAGCTGCCTGAAGCAGAGAAGATTTTCAGGAATAACAAATGAGTCATTATTCAGTCAGTGAGGATTATGCTGGAACAGGTGAACCTTTCAAAAAAAATCAAGAAGTCTAAAGGGACATGAATGGAAGTAGTGAGAAAAACGACCTGCAAGGTCAAGAATAAGGGAAAATATTGCTTCAAAGATTAATGGAATTTATGAAATTAACTACAAAAGCAGTAGCGATATTCTGGGAGGATGATGTGACCACTGTCAATTCTACAGGGAGCTGATAAACTGCACTTTTTGTATCCCACTTTTAATTATTCAATACTGATGAAACACAAGGAGCAGAGGCTATATAGCAACAAAAAAAAATTATTCATTAACGACAATAAATATGACACACTATTGGATTCAGAAAATAATAAGAACAACAACGACTACTGCATCTGCATCTACAATACTAACAACAAAAAGAAAAGAAAAGAAAAACACTCTAGAAATGGGTATCAACAGAAGAAGCAAGATATTCATGTGGCCAGTGGCGGAGCCATCAATGGCCCAGAAGGGGCAGTGCCTTCCCTCAACTCTTTTAAAATTACAAGTTAACCTGTACTTATAAAGTTCTTCAAATTGGCCCCTTTGAAATTTTATACATGCCTCTTAATGTTTTATAATCCATCTTTTTTTCTATCTTGCAGTTCACAACACAAATATGCAAAATAAAAGACATATTCCACAAGGTGTATTCTTCTTCCAAGAGAACAAGTGTCAGCACATGAATGCTTGCATAAAGAGAGAAAAGCATACAAGAGCAGTCTAGAATCTCTAGATAATGTTTATGTTCAGTCTTGTGTTTATAGATTTTATAACATCATTATGCATAAATTTATGTTTAGATTTATTGATTTCGGTCTGTATATGTATGGATTTTTTGAAATTTGAAGACCTGATTCGAATAACCAAATTAAACCAAACAGGCACGACCCAACCCTTTGTATCTGATCCACAGATTATCCCTTGATGTTAATTGCTTTGAAGGGGAAAAAAAGGAAGAAACTTAACGTCACAAGACTTCCTTATGACCAGTAGTGGCTAAGTATTAATCCCTAATTTACTTGAAAAGAAAAAGCATAGATGCTTAACTTAAGCATTTACATATATGCAGATAATGGCAGTAGGCCAGGAATTAAAGCTCCAAAAATTTAGTAGTCCCATTACAAATACAAATGAGGTTGTACATACTTGGGAAACTGAGGCTCTTTTAGGCAGGTATCCCTTCCTCTCCTCACCAAGCTGAACATAGAATCCATAAGGACCATTCTTCAAGAGAATCTAAAAAATAAAAATAATTCCAATACATACATTAAAAGCAGTAATAAGCTTCTGAAGATGACAAAGATTCATTTTTCACATAATTGATGTTAAATCAAAACAAGGAAAACCTTATCATTTGATCCAAGGTAAAGACCTAAACATTTTGTGTAATAACCCGACCCTCGTCTATGATTCTGGTATACTTTCAGTTCCCTCATTCTGTATATTTATATGCTTATTGCGAAATTCCATGTGGAATTACGGTTACGTAAGTGAATCCCATGTTTAAGGATGTCTATCTGTTCAACAAGAAAAGTATCTGTTACATTAGAAGGTTTGAATCAGAAATTGGAGGCCTTAAGGGCTTAATTATCTGAAATTGATTTTATATATGTGATCAGCATAATTTTTAGGTAATATTAAGCATTTTTGGGAAATTTCAATTTGGGATGTTTAAACGATTGATTTTCGTCCTTATTCAATTGCTCTATATATATATATATATATATGTCTATATGAGCACAAGACTTAGGAACCTCCTCATAAGTTTCCCTGGGAAGAGAAAAGTGAAGAGAGGATAGGAACAAGAAGGAATTGAGAGAGATTGAAGCTAAGGTAAGGTTAATTCCCTAATCCAATCCCCTTCCTCAATTTGAAATAAAAAGTTCTTGATTGGGTATGATCTAGAGTGTGATGAGAATCTTGGTTGTGCATGGTGAAGTTTTGGTATGAAAATCCTATCATTTATGTGTCTCTTTCCTCATCCAATTGGTATTCATTCTTTTGATCCTGATTTTGAGTCTCTAGGTTATGTTAGATACAAGTGAAGTTAAGAATTTCAAGAAATGGAATTATGTTTATGAGTTTCAATTCTTGGTTGATTAAATTGAGTTGTGTTCATGATTAATGCAAGTTAGATTGTGTATATGATGCTTTGAATTACATGTTTTTGAACCATGATTTGGTATTGAAAAGATCCATCCTTGAGCCTTGGAAACATTCTCCAAAAGATGAGATTTTGATGCAAATTTCGGACCAAAAGGGGGAATCGCCGCACGTGCGGCAAATGCTGAAATTTTGGGTTTGGTTCTGCCTAAAAGGCACGTGCGGGGGCATTCTGCCGCACGTGCAGGGGAGTTTGCCGCACGTGTGGGGCTCACAGCTGCACGTGCGGCCCATGCTGAAAAACGTGGATCGCTCCATTTTGCGTGTAGAATCCTCTAATGTTGTCGGAATATGTATTTGATGCCTTTTTAATATGTATAATTCCTTCGAAGTAAAACGAAACAGAAAGTAATTTGATATAAAAAGGGAACTAAATTGTAAGGTTTGAATGTGTGCAGGGCACACTCCAGGAGGGGCAAACACTCCGTTGTAGCACTGTGAGTAGTAGTACAAGAATGTACATTTTATATACTATTGACAATTACTGTCACTAATGCTCTGTTCTTTGTAAGTATTATTCAAACATTCATGACAATTGGAAAGCAACGTGAACTTATATGAACGCTGAAAGATTTGCATACGTCGGTATGATTTTGGAATCCCTATATTCCGTTAATGACGAATATTAACCCTTTGTTATTTATCAGTATAATATGTTATTTCTTAAAGAATAAATGGAACTCATGTTCATTCTTAAAGAATGATGTTGTGTGAATTTGAGATTATGTTACGAAGGGACCCAAGACCGTTTAGAATCTATGGTAGGAATGTAAAGGTTTACCATCAGTATGCAACCCACATAAGAATATGAATCATTCTATTTTGTTAAGTGCATGATAATGACATGATATAACAAGAAAAGCTCTGTTTCTATTAACTTAATGATTATTCATATATGTAGAAGTATTCACATCATCTTTAGTACAAGGCCCTTACCCAAGGGTAATAATACCGTGGTTCAAATAATTCAGTTACAAGTTTACGTATGTTCTAAGTCTAAGTCTGTTATAAGTTTACGTATGCTCTAAGTCAAGAATGTTACAAGTTTATATATGTGTGACAAGTTCCAATATGTACAAGTTTAAGTAAGGTTACAAGTACAAGTATATACAAGTTTAAATGTGTTACAAGTTTTCAAGTTAAGTATGTTATAAGTTCATGTATGTTACAAGTCCAAGTATGTTATAAGTCCATGTATGTTATAAATTCAAGTATGTTACAAGTTTAAGTACGATACAAGCGTAAGTATGTTACAAGCTACGTTACATGCTTATTTCTGAACCCATTACGGTCATCAATTTCGGTCCCAAAGTTCTCATCTCAACAGATATTTTTCTAAGTTCAACAGATAATCTTCAATTAAATCATACTAACACATAATTAATTACTGGTAATCATGGTATACGGTTCTGGGTCGTTACAGTACGGTGCCCGTGCTCATCATGAAAGGTGCAGCGGTACCGCGGATTGAAGCCCCTTTACGCATCACCCAACTTAGCCAAAAACTGGACGTATGTCTCGTTGTGGATCTCGCTAAGGATGCAGTAGATTGGGATCTTGAAAACTGTGGTGGTGCCTATTCGGGCGTTCAATTTTCTCTTCACATCTTCTGCAGCATCACGGGGATAGTCATCTCAGTCATTGCGACGACCCTTACCTTGGTTATTATGGTTTGTGCCGTGGTCTGATTCTTTTTCACGGTTGCTCAGACGGCTTGCCTCTTGTCCGACCGCGTGAACCTTCCCGACCACTCTTTTGTTCATTGCCATCGGATTTGCCTTCACAGTAGTTGCGATGAAAACAGGAACAGATTAACTACATGATCTTCGCATTTATTTATGCATTGTTATGTATTATGTTTAAATTGTGCATTTATGTATCATACTATTCACTGAGCTTGGCTCACCCTATGTTATGTCTGTTTCTGTAGGTAACCAACCAAGTGGTCAGTCCTAAACCATGACGCTTATCCTCTTTGGTCAACCTTTCCATGTCCAAGCCTAAGAAGAAGCTGCTCTTATTTTCATGAAGTTTTGACGAACTTTGGTTTTGCACTCTAGTTGTTGGCCTAAGGTTGAATGTGTATAATACTTTCTTCCGAAACGTTTTTGGTGTATGCCCAATTATAGAGCTGGGCTTGTGTTATGTGCGTATATATCCGATATTCAGGTGTATGTTTTAGATTTTACTTGTCTGTTTAAAGTTTGTGATCCTGGCATGATAGTAGTAGCTTTCCTGTCCTCACCAAGCTGAACATAGAATCCATAAGGACCATTCTTCAAGAGAATCTAAAAAATAAAAATAATTCCAATACATACATTAAAAGCAGTAATAAGCTTCTGAAGATGACAAAGATTCATTTTTCACATAATTGATGTTAAATTAAAACAAGGAAAACCTTCTCATTTGATCCAAGGTAAAGACCTAAACATTTTGGCTCCTCCACTGTGCCGCTATTTTGAGGAGTAACCTCTTCATCATCATCACCATACAATGTCTTAGCAATGTACCTGCAAACAACCCAACCATGAAAGCTATTTATAGTGACCAAATAACAAAATATTATTTATCAATAAAGATTGTTTGCAATCAAAACTTGAAAAGCTTAAAAATTATAAATGAATAATTACTACTAATTATTTCCTACAATCAGGAATACAAGAAAATGGGTAAAAAAAAAATTGAGAAAATACTAATTTAGTGGCTTAAATATGAGATAAATGAATATATCTCATTAAACCTTTAAACACTAGATTGGACAATGTTCCATAACAAAATTGAGAAAGAAGCAAACCCTAATCAAGCAAGTGTCAAAGAAGCTCATCAATGGAGATCGCATAAAGCATGAATTTAGGCACTAGAGTCAAGGATGTAGAGATATTAGGCAATTGGTGATGAAGTCCTCTGTCAAAACCCATTCCAAATTGTGAACTTTGTAAATTTTGGGTAGTTCTAGTGGTTAGGTTTTAGGTCAACTAGGGTGTTGGGTTAAGTAGGAATGATTTGAGGGTAGCAAAGGTAGGTAGGGAAATTGCGGATATTGGTAGGGGAGTGACGGAGGTAAGTAGAGATGATCGAGATAGGTGGAGAGGAGTGGAGGAGTGCTGGAGTGAGGCAGATGGGGAAGTTGTAGAGGTGGCGAGGGAGGGTGAAGGAATGTGCGGACGCAGGTTGTTTGCAAAAGAGATTGAAAAAAAAAAAGGCTACTTTTGTTAATTCTATAAAAATATGTCGCGATTTTTTTAGGTTTTTTGAGTCTTCCATAGTCGCTATTTTTAAAAAGTTGGCACTATTTTGTAACATTAGTTTCAAGAACCCAACCAAACATAGGGGGACATTTTTTCTAAAAATGTTTTTCGTAGAAAATGTTTTCCATTGAAAAATGTTTTTTGTTTAAACAAACGGAGCGCGAGTTACAATAAAAATACAAGTAAAGAGGCCCATATTTGTTGCATTTTACTAGGACAAATGAACCAATAAGGAAATGAACAACATATAAAATGTAACATGATTTATAGGAAATTGCTAAAAAATGTGAAACTATCATTGCCATTGTAGGAATTTGTATTCAATTCACTACACCATAACAATATCAAAATGATTCTGATGACTCACCGACAAATGGAGCTTCTGCAGAAGAGAAGAAGCATTTAAGAGCAAAGTAAGAGAGAGAAGGTTAAAGTCTGATGATACCAAAACAAACAACTCCAATTGTTCGAGAGAGTTGAATCTAGTTATCCTTGCAGGTATTGGGAGGACCTGAAGAGAAAAGAAGAAAAAAGTTTTATATAGAAAAACATCCCATTTTCATACACAAGATGAAAAAGTACACAATAAAAAGTAATAATTCTTTCATTTTTTCCTCACCTCTTCTATTGTCAAAACTAGTGATAGGGTTGAAGCCGAAGAAGATCATTTGCAATTCCATTGAACATATATTGTGTGCCCCTCTCATATGCAACCATGAACCTGATATGCACTTTTTCCAACCAAGGAACGTCAAGAAAAGAGAAGTTTTTCACCTTACCAATATATTCAAATGTGGTAAGACCAATAGAAGAAATCTCAAACTTCTCTACTCCATAGCATTCATGCACAACCAAAATCTTCAAATGGAGGGATGGACCATGAATCCATAAAGTTTCAGGTAGAATACTGTTCTTTAGCCTCAACCATTCAAGGTTTAAACAACTAAAAAGGAAACTGTTAGCATAACTTTGATTTAGAGGCACACGTTCTAAATCAAGGGATTTTAGGGAGATTAGGGGTTGGCCTTAGGTTGCATGATTTTACGCACAAATACTTTAATTGAGATGAATCACCTTGAGGTTGAGGAAGAAGCTGACTTTCAGGACTAGCAGAAAAGTCAAGATCAAGCTTTTCAGTTTTCATTATAATTGCAAATCTAATCCACCTATCAACATTACCAGCGTACTCGTTACCAAGACAAAAACAGATCCTGAGAGAGTCTAGCTTTTGACCATTGTATAGTTCCAAAAATTGATCAACTTCAGTTACAAACTTACTCATTGAGTACCTTGCTTTGACAGAATCTCTAATACTCAAAAATGAGAGAATGAAAGAGAGAATGTCATCTGGCATTTCAGAAAGACGATCAATGGGTTTGAGGTCATTGCCCTAACATATTTCAACCATCGAACATGTATATCAGCAAATAATAAATTACTTTAATGGGCACAAGTATCTTCTACAGGGCTTCTCGTCTCTCACACTCTCATCTATCTCAGATCAGACCGGTGAGGTGCTTGTCTCTCTCGGTGAGCTCTCTCTCTCTCTCGGTGACACTGTTTTTCTATTTCTGAAATCAACAATGCTAGGTAACTCAAAATTTTGTGACTCAAATGGCTCAAATCACCCAAAACAACGTCGTTTTAACAGATTTTGAGTGTAAAACGACGTCGTTTTGACAAATTTGAACCATTTGAATCACAAAATTTTGGACTACGAAACATTTTCCTTGTGAAATGAGTGTGGGTGTGTAAGAGTTTTTAGGAAAATGCTTCAGGGCTCGAACACTTCGGCTCGAACGGCCCGAAAACGTGGGTTCACGCGCTAGCACCTCTATCTCGCTCTATCTCCTCATTTTTCTTCTCATATCCAAACTCTCTCTCTCTCTATTGCTCTGTCTTCCGCTAAGTCATCGTTCTTCCGAAGCATCTCCGAATCATTCGATATCTCCTCCGAAATCAATGGCGGAAAGTTGTTATTCTGTCACCTCCGAATCATTTGTGAATGTTTATTCTCTGTTAAATAGAATATAATTTGTGAATGTTTAATCTCTGTTAAACATAATACTGGTTTTACATCCCATGCATGTAAAGATTGGAGGTCTAAAACACCTTAATTTTTAGACAACAATAACAGGTACCACTAATAAAGAGGACCAATAAAGAGGGTCTGACTCCAATGGGGACTTTCATCAAACACTTGGAATGCATCAATACAATGGAAGATGTCTAAAAGAGGGTCTGACTCCAGAACAACCAAAAAAAAAAAAATTACAGACATCATGTCACACAATTTGGCATATCCATTGTTCCTCTCACAGATGCATCTCAGATCAAAAATAAAAATAAAATTCAGAAGCTGCAAGTGTGCGAATGGAAAAGAGAGGTGGGTGGTGGTCAGCGACGGTCATCGGTGGACACCAGGTCGGTGGTTGTAGTGGTCGTCACTGGTCGACGGTCTCCTCCTTCTGGTTTCCCTCTCTCTCTCTCTCTCTCTCCTCTCTTTTCTGTTCTGTTTTATTATTTTCTTTCACTTGTGTAACCTCCAAAGCACATGTGGGTTCCAAGTGCATGTTTTATTTCGGAGGGAAAACACGTTTTTGAGCCATTCAATCCACTGCCTCCGCAGCAGCTCCGGAGTTTTTACTTTTGTTTTTTCTGTTTTTTGGGTGTGTATTTTTTTTCCGTTTTTATTTTTTTTCTAAAACAGTGATTTCTGTATACATGGAGAGAAACAGTATATCTTAAATGGGTTTGTGTATATTATATGATTTTTGTTTTTATTTTTTTCTTTGGTTTTTGTGATGTGGATAAAAAAAAATTTCTTTGATTTCTGGTATGATTTATGTGGTAGGGAGAGAAACAGTGTATATTTTTTCTTTGATTTTTGATATGCTTTCTGTTTTCTAATAATATTAATCCTATTCTTTTGATGTATTTATTTTCCTTGTTTGATAGATATTAAGTACTGGAGAGACAAATGATGTCATCAACCTCTCTTAGGGGTTGTTTGGCATAGACTATATAATCCATCTTTTTATCTTTTTATGTTTTTTTCATCACATCACCTCTCTACTTTTCTGCACATATTTTCGTAAAAAGATAAAAAGTGCACTTTTTTAGGACACCCCAAACCAACCCTTAGTCTCGGTTTAAACCAGAGCATGATCTTCAGCCTGAAACTCCTTTTAGTTCAAAGGTATGCCCTCCTTCTAAAACCAGTTTATCTCTGTTTGTTTGATTCGAATTTGTGGAAAGGGAAATGTCTACTACTGTTTTAATGGGTTTTTGTCTATATAATAAGGCACAAAGGATTTTGAAAAATGTATCAAAATGTATGTGAGATACATTTTGATTCAATGGCTAAGATCAATTCTAAGAATATATTAATGGTTGAGATCAATAGATCTCCCGCCCATGACTTCTCTCCCTAAGCATCATTGTCTTTCCCACCTACCCACGTCTGCCTCCCCACCTTCCCTTTCTATCTGTCTCTCCCTCTCCCTCTCTGTTCTTGAATACATCTCTCTCTTTCACAGATACATCTCTCTCTGTTTGGGATAATCATTGTTCATTATCCACAAGTTTTAGGTTTTGGATTGAGGTTTCAATGGCTGCTCTAATGTATCTCTGGCTGCAGTTTAAAATTAATGTTGATGTATCTTCATGTTGATAAGTGTGAATTCATCTTCTTTGTAAGATTTAGTCGATTCCCACGGACAGCGCCAATTGTACGGGCAAAGAAAAATCACGTACTTGTTGATAAAGAAATCCAATGAAGAAGATGAATAGCACCACCACACAATCGCTATCTGCAAGACAAAACACCCCAAGCCGTAGCCGGGGGTCCTCCGACGCCCAAGTCAGTCCTCCAATATTATCAAAATATTTAATGGAGTAATTCATAGAGAGAAATTGCGTACCTCAATCCATAAGGGTGTTGCCTATTTATAATATCCAATGACTTACCTCTCAAGTAATTTGAATGTTCCAGAAGTCCTATCCTAAACAATCTCTGGTTGTTCAGGACTTCTATATCAATAAGATTTCATATTCTGATAAGTTTTGCATAACATAAAACACTAATGCAGTGTTTGATAAGAATTTGATAACTGTCATATACATGATAATCCATAACCATGTCAAGTGGCAATATCGGGACCCACATAATTCTTGTGATTATTTTTATTCCCTTTCATAAAGCAAAGGTTTCACTTGGTGTTTATGTCACATTCTTTTCCTATTCCTAAATTTCTCTAATATACCTTTGTACATATATACCCACAAGAGCAGTTATAGACAAATATACAAAGAAATATATAGAGATTCACAATTACTATGATCATTTTGGTTGCACACATAGTGTGCGTATCCTTCTAGTATATATATATATATAAAGAGAGAGAGAGAGAGAGAAAGAGAGAGAGAGAGAGGGAGAGAGAGAGAGAGAATTACTATGATCATTTTGATTGCACACATAGTGTGCTTACCCTTCTAGTATATCTATATAATAAGGCAAGAGGCTTTTTGAATCCGGATGTGACTCTTATACCTGTGTCAAAATTTGGACCATTAGATTGATTTAATCTAAGGGCTCAAAATATCTCAGCCCATTTGTCTCTCTTATTTTCAACAGACCCTCTCTCTCTCTCACTCCCATTTGTCTCTCCCATTTATCTCTTTTTTGATTTCAAATTTTGAAAACACACAGCCCCCCATCTCTCCCTCCCTCTCCCTCCCTCTCCCTCTCCATCAGAGCCCAACCTTCCCTGTCGGAGCCCATTCCCTCTCATCATCTTCTCTCTTCCTCCCTTCATCTCTCTTCATCAACAGTGGCGATTGAACCCCCCCTCTCTCTCTACCTCCATCGGAGCCCATTCCGCCCAACCCTTGCTGACGATTGAACCCCAAACCCCGTATTACTCTCTTCATCTTCTCTCTTCCTCCCTCTCTCTCCCAATCTTCATCAACAATGACGGAGTCATTGCAAAAGAGGAACAAGGGGACTGCAAAAGGGAACAATGGTGTTCAACAAATAAATAATCCGGTATACATACGGTTTAGGTGAGCAAACCTGGGCTTTTTCTTTAGTATTTATATTTCAATCTTTGGGCAATCTTTGAATAAGCTTTACTCTAATCTTTAATTTTTGGATAATCTTTACTCTAATCTTTAGTCTTTATTGATAATGATCTCTACTCTAATCTTTTGATTGAAACATTAATTAAGCCTGGTTTGGATAATCTTTACTCTAATCTTTTGATTGAAACATTAATTAAGCCTGGTTTGGATAATCTTTACTCTAATCTTTTGATTTTTTTTTTTTGAGGTAATATTTTATATCAGATTAATCATCAAATACATATTTATCAGAGTGCGCAGCGGATAGCTTACACATATGACAAATTTCGAGGACGAAATTTTTCAAAGGAGGGAAGATTGTAACAACCTAAAAATTTAAGTTGTCTCTTATATTTTATATTAATTATAAATGAGAAAAACTCTAAATGTTTAATTAGATATTCCGTAAAATAACATGTGACACTCTAAATATTTAATCAATATCATAATTAATTATGATAATAATAGTGGTAGTAATAATAAAATTAAATAATTGATTTTATGATTAGGAGTTATTATTTTATTAATTAGAATTAATCTAATTGCTGTGGATAAGTAAAAAAAAAAAGGATATTATTGAATCTGACAAAGGTTACACGCGTCGGTGCTCGGGGCTTTCCGTGGGTTGTTGCCCACGGTTGCCTCCCCTATAAATGGGGAGGATTGGCTCATGATAAAGGCAACCAAAAGACAATAACAAAATATAAAAAGAGAGGAAGGGAATTAGAAAGTAAAGAAAGCTTTCGACGACGGAAAGTAAAAGTGAGGTATTAATTTTAAGGTGAGTTATATTATATTTTGAGTTACCATAATATATTTTATGTATAGCAAGCAACTGCCCAGTCCATTGACCAAAAATAAAATAAATAAAAATAAAAAATAAAAATTCCCTACATGATCAAGTTGAACACAATTGTGAAAGGCGCGCACACTTCTCTGTCCCTCGCCTACACATGCGATGAAATTGAAAACAGAGCATAGAAAAAGGTTTGTAATCTCAATGGATGGGTCATCCACGTATTAGTTGGACAAGAAATTGAGAAAATAATTACATGTCTGCTAGTACTATAGTAGTAAATACTTTTAAGATTACAATATGTGGATGACCCATGTTTCTAATAATTTTCTCACTTCCTTGTCCAACCAATACACCCATCCATTGAGATTACAAACCTTTTTCTACCGCACTTAGAAACCTTGTTCCAGCCCCTGCAGGCTGTTTAGCCGCACAAAACTAAACTTCTTAATAAGTGTTCCCTCTCTTATTTTGTTTGTTCTTTTTTTAGAATTGTCTTTTTTCGAATCAAGAAAAAACTGTTCTTTTGATTGTGCAAAATATATATATATTCACAAAAATGCCCTTTTTTCTTGATCTGAATAAAGGCACAATTTCCAAAAAAGGACAAACAAAATGCAACAGAGAGTGTATTTATTATTATTTTTAATTTAATAATAATATAATTATTTTTCTAATTAGGTTAGATTTTAAGATTTCTTTTTATTATAAATACACATAGACTTATTATTTAGGTTATTCATTTAAACATAATTTTCTTCTGTCTTCTATAGTTGATGTCAAGCACACAATTTCAATGGTCAAGCCAAAAGGCTTGGCAAAGCTAAAAAATGAATAGACCTCACAAAAATCCTTCCAATGCCAATATTATTGCCAAAAAATTGGTTTTAAACTGAAAGTTTGGCAAAGTCATTTTATGCAACATCGGAACTCAAATCTAAAAATTCTAAAATTAGAAAATTCTACAAATTGAAAAAACTCAAAAATATTAAAAATTATAATTATAAAAGTTTAATTACACCAAATCACAATTTATTCAAACAATAAGAAATCACAAAATCAAAAAAATGATATTCATCTAGATCAACGAGATAAAAGGATAATTGATAGGATAATGGTGATGTGAACCTAATTGTGCCAAAATGATAAATCACTGTTATTTATAGAAGGTGGGATAACTAATGCTTCGTTGCCTTCTCGATGTGGGATAACGTTATATAGTAATAGAGTGGGTTAATTTTACTTTTATTCCCCAAGCTATCACCATTTATTCTATTTCATTCCTAAACTATTAATTTTGTCTATTTAGTCCAAAAGTTTTTAATTTATGTTCATGTAGTCCAATTGGAGATGATTCTACAAATCATTAACTGTTGGAGTCTAATTTAATTGAAAAAAAATAAATACTAGGAAAATTCCAAAAAAAAAACCCCCCAAGGTTTAGCTCTAGTAAACTGATCAAATACTGTGGTTTTATTTTGTTAATTTCAACCCTGAGTTTTTTATTTGATTTCAATTTCATACATCTGTCCATCTCCGTTAAGTAAAATAAACAGAAAATGTTCTTTTAGTCATTTACTTTCACTTCTTTCCGCATCCACTATTTCCTCTCTCTCACCCACCCTTAACATTCAACGATGTTTTTCTTCCCTCAGATGCAACCACCATTGCCTTGATCCACCACTCTCACTCTTCTTTCTATTGTTCTTTGACAGCAGCCCTATTTATTCTTTTTGCTCCCCCAACACTACATTCATCATCTCCCGTTCTTGATCGAGATCTAAACAAAATCAACAAGCAAAATCGCAAGCA